GGGTTCCCTGGGGATTCCGTGGGAAGGAAATCTTGCTGTCTGCTTTGTCCATATACCAGATCTCAGACCCCCGGTGAAGGAGGGGGCGCGCAAAAACTCGGTCAAAGGGTTTCTCAATCTCCGTCACTGCACGCCGTGTGTGTCTCATTACCTGCGTGCACGCGCAGATCTCTTCTGGATCTCTGCGCACATCTGGTTTTGGCGGGGTCGCAGAGTTGCGGGGGAGGGACTTTCAGTGAGTTTGAGTGTGTGAGTGTGCGATCATGCTCAGCGTCTGAACTCTGTAATTCGCAGCAGATGACCACTTGGGGGGATGTAGGCTTTACTTGGGGAGGTGACTGTTCCCTCGGACAGCATCAGAGCGCATTGGGCAAGTTCACGCGTTCCATAGATGATGCTGCTCAGCGATGGCGCTGCGCGCTTGAAATGTACACTTTACAGAGCAACAAGTGAAATATGGAAGAGTCCAGCGTGACAGAGGAGAGGGGCGACTGCACCTGAAACGCACAAAGCGAATGCCGCTTCAGATCCGGGCTGTGCCGGCCGCGCTGTGGGAATGGATACCAGCAGTTTCCTGGTGGGGATGTGCTTTTTCCTGCTGTCGCTTAATGGGTTTCTGTCCTCCTCGCTGGCGACGGGCTTTTGCCCAAACCTCTGCGACTGTCAGCATTCACAGCATCTCATGTGCACCAATCGCGGATTGCGCACTGTGCCCAAACCCACTGCGCAGATGCCCGAGGAAGTGCAGATTTTCAGCCTTGGGGGCAACTTCATCTCTAACATCTCCGCCTTTGACTTCACACGGTACAGTAACCTCGAACGGTTAAATCTGCAGTACAATCAAATAAGAGTTATTCACCCAAAAGCATTTGAGAACCTTCCCAAATTGGAAGAGCTGTACTTGGGACATAATCTTTTAACAGCTATACCCGCGGGAAGTTTGCAGCCCCTAAAGAAATTGACTATTCTCTATGGAAACAACAATGCAATTAAGAAAATCACACCGGGACTGTTTTCCAACCTGGATAATCTTATTAAATTGCGCCTGGATGGCAACTCTCTAGAAGTTCTGCAGGACTCTGTTTTTAAGAGTTTGATCAATCTACATTATCTTCATCTGGAATCCAACAAACTGCAGCACATTCACAGAAACGCTTTCTCTAAACTGACCAGCCTACGCTTTTTAAACCTGGCCCACAACAAGCAATCAGCCATGCGCAATGTCCTCACTTTCTCTCATCTCAAAGCTTTGACGACGTTGCTGCTGTCTGAGAATGAAATTCGTCATATTGGCAACCATGTCTTCCAAAACCTGAAAAAACTGTCCAAGCTTTCCCTCAGCAACAACAAAATCTCCCAAATGGACAGTGGTGCTTTGAGGGGCCTGTCGAGCCTCACCGAGCTTCTGATTGACGGCAACGAACTGGTGGGAATTCCTGCCGTCCTCCTCGACCCCCTGGAGCGTGTCGAGGAGCTGGACTTCAGCCGCAACCGGATATCCAGCGTGGACTCTCTGGCTTTTTCAAGACTTAAACACCTAAGAGTGTTGAAGCTGAAGGACAACTTTCTCACCAGTCTGTCTGGGGACATGTTTACCCTCAACAGCGTACTTTACGACTTGGATCTCCAAGGCAACAACTGGACATGTGACTGTCGCCTGGAGCAACTGAGAGAATGGATTGCTGCTGCACACTCTCAGGGCAAACTGCTGACTGTGTTTGTGCAGTGTCATTACCCAGCAACTCTGAGGGGGAAATATCTGGACTATGTGAACAGCTCCCAGCTGCAGCCCCTTGGGAACTGGACTCACTTGTGTACAAGTCAAGCTAGGCCTGAGGAGAGCAGGGCAGGGGCAGTACTAGTGAAGCTGGGGAGCACTGAGAGAGGAGAAAGAGATTCTCGGTTGCCAGAGGGCGGAGAGAGGACAGATGAAGAAGCTCAGAAAGGTGTGAGAAAGAGAGGGGAAGTGGAAGAAACAGGACGTTTAAGACCGGTGAACAGGGGTGGAGTCATGGTATGGAAAAATGGAGAGCAGAGGAAAAAAGAGGGACAGGAAGTGGTGGGGATCCAAGGAGACCAAGGAGGTCCAGAGGTGGCAGAACCTTCTTCTTTCCTGGACAGAAGGAAACCAAAGAAGAAGCTACGGCCTGCTGCAGAGGCAGCTGGGAAACGCGTTAAGGGGAGAACGAGGTCAAAAGTTATTTTCAAACCCAGTCCATCAGCCACAATTAGCCAAGCAAGCATCGGGCTAACCACCACTGTGTCTGTTCACTCAGGAGAGCAGTTAGATCTCCTTAGGTCGGATCAGGATGACACCCTACCTGTCATTACAGACCCTTGTGTTTTCAACCGCCATTTCATCACTAATGTGTCCGTGCATCACGTCACATCTAATACCGTCACTGTGTACTGGACCACCAGGGATCATCACCGCTACACACCAGGGCCCGGGCCAGGTCTTGATGAAGTCCACTACCGGGTTCTGTTTGACAGGTTTGGCACCCAGGATCGTTTCCCCCGCTACGTTTACGCCCACGGCGCGGCTCGCTCCGTGACCCTCCAAGAGCTCAGCTCAGATGTGACCTACATGGTCTGCGTGGAGGGAGTGGTCGGAGGTTCCGTGTGTCAGGTCGCACCACGCGACCACTGCACGGGGCTGGTCACCCTATCTGAGGCAAATGGCCGTGGAGCTACGCTGACCTCTGACCTCCAGCTGGTGACGGTGGCGATGCTCGCCGGGAATGCTGTGCTGCTGCTGGTCATCGGCGGGGTGTGGCTGGGGAGAAGTCTGAGGAGAAAGTTGCAGAGGAGGAAGTCAGCTGTGCACGTGCGCCACATGTACTCCACCAGGCGACCGTTTCGCACCGCAATGGCCACGGCGTCCGTCTCCACCGACTTCACCAGCTACCAAAGCAGCCGGCCAGCACGGCTCGCACCGCTAGAGGAGGGGGATCTCATCGAGTTCCCTTGCGACCGCTTTCTGGACAGCAGCAGCGTTCGCAGAGAGAGCGAAATGCAGAGATTCTCTGACTAGAACCATTAAAACTCCAAATTAGCTTTAAAAAAATGTTGACACTGAAAAAAATGGGAATTGCTTCATGTTTCCATCTGTGATTTAGCCTTTTTAACACAAACTCCTCTCAGCTGAGCTCATGAGACACCAGAGGAAGTCCATTCCCTCTGACTTCCCCTTTCCCAGTTTGGACCCTTCCTCTTTAATTTTCTTGCTTCTGTGAGTCTACATGCATTGTTTTTCTTTTTGTTTGTTTTTTTGTTTTTTGTGTACGTGAATGATGTACCACTGATTTCAACTACGGTGCTAATATTCAGTTTGCAGACATCATATTGTCTCATATTTGTACAGTGTGTAACAATGGCTGCTGGGTGGCAGAAAAATCTCCTGTTTTGTACCACATCTACCGTATTTTATACTTTTATAAGGAACTTTGTATCATTTTGCATTACATGACAAAGTAAAAATCCCCAACAATGTGACTGATTTGTCATTTGAGTGCATGTGTTATTGTATCTGCGGGTCCTAAAACCCAGACTGTACATAAGACTGAGGACGAGAGCAGCAACAAAACATTAAAGAAGTGAGTGAGTGAGCTGTGTGCGTGTCAAGATGAGGTCTGGCAATAGTTAGGCAGTCCCTTTGTTTGAGTCTACAGGGTGGAGTGCCTCCTACATTCAGTTCAAATCACACACACACACACACACACACACACACACACACACACACACACACACACACACACACATTGACAATTGTCTGCACACAAACTTTTCATAGCATCAGACAGTCAAGATGTTAGACATTAAAGCTTCTTGGTTTGTGACAGCTGACCTTAAAGGGACAGTTCACGCCAAAATCAAAACTGCATATTTTTCGACTTGCCTGTCTGTCATATTTTTGGTTGTTTGTTTATTTGTGTTTTAGTCCATGTAGATTCCTTCCATTGAATATAATGGAAGCGAATATGGCAGGCATATGTTTAGACACAAGATTTGGGAAAATCAGTACAGATATTACAATAATAACGCATAACTTCTTGAAAGCAGCTGACTCACAGTGTTGCAGACATCCAGAGTCTCAAACATGTCCATGAATGCCTCATCAGGCAAGTTGTAATAAAACATTTTTTTAAGATACTGAAACTAGTATTCTTTCCTTTATATTATTATCTTATTTTAGTTAGTTTCCAAGTTCACAAAATCATTTCACTTAGCTTTAATTTCTTTCAAAATGCCATTTTCAATTTTTATTTTAGTCAACTCAAGGTTTATTTTTTAATAATATTTATTTTTTTTAGTTTCGTTTCAGTTAACCATAATAACCTTGGAGCTAGCATATGAGGGTGGACATCGCGCCTCTAGTCATGGATAGATGCATGCATAACGACCCCACAGCGAAGCTTGTGGATATATTTGAGTAACTAGGTCATAAATCCTCAAAAGAGTTTAGTAAAATACATTTTGGGGGGACTTTAAGCATCACAAGAAAAGTATTGCTTACTTTTACTATTTTCAAGAGAAGCCAGTCATGTCTGTGGCTGATATTTTCAAAAACTGGTTAACAATAGGTTACATTTTGGGAGAACTATCCTTTGAAGTCTGGGACACTTTTGTTAGTAGTTGCCCAGTTATCCAGGATCTCAGCAGACTTTGAGGTGGTACACCCTGCACAGGTAGCCAGGCCATCACAGGGCTGACCTTCACATCTCCACAGGAAGAACATGCAGAAAGTTCATCTTAAGTCTTTCTGTCTGTGTATGAGACGAGACAGAAACAATCCTGGTCACACTTTGATGACTACTCTTATTTTTGCTCTCACTAATAAAAACAGTCACTAGATGGCAGGATAGACCGCACCACAAGTACAGAACCACAGTCTCACTGCTCACAGCCACCAGCTGACCAAAATTAAAGGCAAACAAATATGAATCTGACAGATCTGACGTTGTAAAAACACATTTCAATGATTCACAAAAAGATACCAGAATAATATTTTTTTTTAATTTTTGCATTAGGTTTACAGCGATTGTCAGCGTCTTTACAGTACAAAAAGTGTAACTTCTGTGTAAATTTAATTAAACTAGCAGGGACTGAGACATGAAGTGTAGTTTATAATTACTCAGTGACTCAAGGCAGTCACAAAAAAGTGCCTTAAAGAAAATACTGTTTTCAGTAGCTTTCCAACACAGTTGCAGGTTTAATTAACTAATATTTACAAATCAATGAAATGGGAAATTTTAGGATAAAATATTTATCTTATAATTTGAATTACCTGTAGAAAAAACACCCAAAACAACAAAAACTTTGTTGTGTTATTTAAGGTAAGCTGCCTCTGCTCAAAAATGGAAAAAGGTGCACTTGGAGCTGCCCAATTAAAACAAACAAAAAAAAGTTATAGTCTCTTTTTCTGAATTAGTGCAAGATATGCCAGAGAATGATACTAAAAAGATGTGTCATGACTGTGTGTGTGCATAGCGAGTAGGTAGGAGGCAACGTTAGGCTCATGTCAAAAGAAAACAGACATTATCTGAATAAACACAGGATCCAGTTGCCATCACAGTTTTAACAAGGCTTTCAGAAAGTGCATTTTATGCACCTGTTTGGAGAAATGAAGCGACAGATCTCTCTCTCTCTCAGTAAGTGTTTCTGATCTTCTCACAGAAAATCTGCTGATCGTGTTGAAAAATACCTCAAGCGTTCACATGGATTTATAAAATCCCAATCCTATCCAGTTTAGGATTTCACCTATACGTTGCAGGCTAGTGTCCGGGCTGGAGGTCGTGGCCCGAATCGCCTCCAGACGTCGAGGAAGTGGAGATGCTGTTATGTTGGATGGCTTGCAGATCAAACCCAGGACCTGCAGGGGTGGGACTTCTTCCAGGGCTCACCCCTGCAGCTGGACATAGAGACAGCTGTCAAAGTCACTTATAAAGTTCTGACTCTCTGCTTTTTGGTGTTGGAGATTGTAGGCATCAAATAAAAAGCCACGGCATTTGAGATTAAATGAAAATAGCTCCTTTATTTTAACAATTGAATACTGTACATACATGTATAAAGAACAGTAGAAATATATGAATATGAAATGTGCCAATATTGCATCTCTCTTTGTTCTAAGAAACTCTTGACACATACGTCTTTGTCTGCTTAGGCCACAGCGTTTCACTTTTTAAATATCTTTCGTTACAGGTCAGTTTCAGTCACTGTTTGACATAAACTTGAAGCCGCCTGTGGAGTGCAAGAAAGGCAACTTGTTCCCTGCTAGCTTCATGCAAGGCAAAACAATGCTAGTAGCATGGTACTACAAGTTATCTCAAATACCATTGCGGTGTGGTTCATTAAAACAGAAGGACAAACTTGATATTCCTTTAAATTAAATCAAGAGTGCAGTGCTTTTTTCCCCCTGATCTCTTCAAAAGTGCATTGCTAATTTTTTTGGACACAAGCAAGAGTTACTTTACTCTTTTGTGCTGTTTGTTTAGCACTTTAAGACACAGTTTAAAGTGGACCTATTATGCTCATTTTTCATGATAATTCCTGTTTGTCCCTTCGTCTCCCTCCCCTTTTTAGTCAGCTTTCTGAAACAACTGTTGTGCCCAGAACAGAAGGTTTGAAAAGCAGGTTGGGTGGGGTTTCTGTGCTCACAGCCATGGCTGCATACCTGACATAACCACATAAGGATATCCCCTCTCTTGACATCATACACATCCATGTCCATGAGGAAAAAACAAATTCTTTGCTCACATGTACATACATAAAAAACTGGTACCAATTTTAATAACAGTGCGTATATATGACAGAAAATAGGAGAAAGCATAATAGGTCCACTTTAAGGTCCTCGGTGTGTAGAGCAGTGGTTCTCAAAGTGGGAGCACCAGGTGTCTGCATCCAAAAGTCAAAGGGCAAATAATTTGCAAAAAAATAATTTTATAATAAAAAGTGCATATTTACAGATGGGGACATTTACTCCTGCCTGTGTTATCTTTGGGCTGACAGAAGCTCGCCATCAGATGTGATTGTGACACATCACGTCAGTCTATCATCAGCTATCACACACTTTTCTCAGGGTGTAATTAACCATTCCAGCTGTTCGGCTTCTTGTCTTTTTGACATGCGGGCTAGCAAGTAGCTTTAATTATTATCTATATTAAGTCAGCAGGTAAAGCTGCATTTAAATCAGAAAATATGAGGGGTTTCTTAGGACATTTTCTCCCCTCTTAGGGGTTCTTGGCCTCGAGAAGTTTAAGAACCCCCTGTGTAATAGCGAGTGCATGTGTAATTGTGGGTACACAAGGTTTAATGTGTGAATTACACCCTCAGTGGTGGATGGAGATGACTGGTGTCAGGCATCTGGAAAAGCTGGTGAGATTTCTACACAGGGTTACAGGGAAGGGGGGTTTTACTCACTGGGGTACCCCTGTGCCTCCCTCTGCCGAGCAGTGACAGGACAGTCCTTGTGGGTGAGCAGAATCTGCTTCAGCTGACCCACCTCCGACTTCAGTGACGTCACCTCGTTCTGGAAACAAACACAGTGAAATGGTAAGCACTCTCGAAGTGTAGGTTGTGTTGATGTGAGTGTGTCTTGTGCTCAGAGCACATCCCACCTGTAGCTGAAGGTTTGTGTGCGTCAGCTCTTCAGCTTTCTTCTCCAGTGATGACACCCACAGCTTCCTCTTCTGTCGGCAGCGGGTGGCTGCGGCCCGGTTACGTTCCAGAAACTTCTGCCTTCGCTCGTCGGGGTCCTGCTCTACTGTCCTCCTTCGACGGTTTCCGCTTCCTCCTACACCACCTCCGCTGCAGCTACCGCCTGCCTGCACTGCATGAGTGTGAGATGGCTGGGAAGGCTGCATCTGCTGTGCAACTGGTGATAACTGCAGAACAAAAACAACAACTTTTTCAAGTAACTGTGCTTGAATGCACAAAAAACCCAGCCATCGTTAAATATAAAGCATTATACCTGCGCAGGAGCAGACAGTGGAGGTGCAGGCGGTGAGCCTGGGTGTAAATGTGAAGGCGGTGATTGGTGAGCCTGAGCGTGAGGTGGTAAATTCCCTGCCTGGTGCAGCTGGTGGCTCTGGGTGCTTCCAAGATGCTGTGGGTGGGGAGCATGGCACCGCTGTTGGTAGGTAAGAGGCACAGGCGGAAGCTGTGAGGGATGAGGCTGAGGATGATGATGATGGTGGTGCTGCTGTTGTGGTTGTTGTTGTTGTAGTGGAGGTGTCTGGTGACGCTGTGGCATCATCTCTATCATGTGGCCCATGGGTGGCACATTGTTACTGATGGTGATCATTCCTGGGTGGTGCTGTTGATAATGGTGGCCCAATGTCTGCTTGGATCTCTGAGCCGAAATAGATAATAAACAAAAAAAGAACAAGTTAATTAATCATGTGATGCTATTAAAAAGTTAAATTATTATCACTTCTATGTGCAATGATTTAGAAATCTGAAGAGATCTAACCACTATCCACTCTGATATCAGCCTCTGAACTGTGTTCAGAGGATAATAAGTATATACTAGTAACCAGATTAAGAAAATACAAACAATTAACGTGAATTCAACTGAGGAAGACTTTCCTTTTCTTTTTCATGTTGGATTATAAAGATATTTATTTACCCCTTTCATGGTCAATATGTTAGAGAATGCTCAGAAGCCCTATAACCACACAGAAAGGCCATAAAACTGCAGTTCCTCAAATGACCACACGAGGCTGGCTTGCACAGTGAGACAATCCCAACAGACAACTGTTCATTTCAGTTCAACTGTATTTATATAGCACCAAATCCCAACAACAGTCGCCTCAAGGTGCTTTATAATGTAAGTTAAAAACCCTAGAATAATTCAAAGAAAACAGAGAAAACCCCAACAATCAGATGACCTATGAGCAAGCACTTCGGTGACAGTGAGAATGAAAAACTCCCTTTTAACAGGAAGAAACCTCCAGCAGAAACAGACTCGGGGAGGAGCGGCCATCTACCGTGACCAGTTGGGGGCAAGGGGAGGAAGACAGGACAAAACCACACTTTGGAGGAGAACCAGAGATGAATAATAGCTCACGATTCAATGCAGAGTGTGTGAAAACACATAGGAACGGTGAAGAAGAAACACTTGGGAAGTTCCCAGCAGCCTAGAGCTATTGCAGTGAAACTAAAGGAGGATTCAGCGTGACCTGATCCAGCCTTGACTATATGCTTTGTCAAAAAGGAAAGATGACTATGTTAAAACGCCCAACTTAACAGCATTAAAAAGCAAGATTAAACTCTTCTGAAAGAATGGTTTTGGTCTCTGTGAATACTCCCCTAATAGAAATTGTATTGCAGTTTCATTTCTTTGTCATTCTTCTAATTACACTTTTAAAGTTTGACAGTGGCCAGTTTTGGCCAGTCATTGAACTGGACCTCTGGACTGAGCATTTTTAATGGAATTATCAATTGTTGTGTGGCTTACGGCACAAACGAGCAATTCAGCAAGTGACTGTTTCCACTTTGTTGCGTGAGGGTTTCTTTTAGTATTTTATTAGTACTAGTGCATGGAAAAAAATAATAATGCGTCTGTGAAATTAAAATGATACGATGCCTTTATCAGGTGTTATCAGTGGATAAACACTACAAGTTGATAATTTTAGCCCTTTGGATGTGTAGCTGCTAGGCAATATGATGACATCATAATATCTGAGGTAGATAAGAACCACAGACAGTATAAAAGATGGACGTAGCTGCCCTGACGTCACGCACTGCTTTGAGGTCCCGCTTTGAAGCCTCAAGCTGGCGACGGTGTTTTGCTTGTGAAGAATGGACGTGAAAGAGAGGGGCGGGTCTGACTATTGGCTACTGACTTGTGATTGTCAGCTCAATAGCCAATGTGGTCTTTTGAACCATAGCATGATCAAGATTTATGAAGCAGACCTCATTTTTTTATTATCTGTATGGCGCATAAACTGAGTCTATAAACTCAAATGGAAAATGTTTACAAAGGTCAAGTGAGACAGCTTTTTTTCTTTCCACTACTGGCCTGAAATTCCTACACTTCATTTTATATATCATAGCAAGAAAATTACTAATTAGCGGCCATCTGTGGCTGTGCAGTTCACCCATACAGTGTATGGATACAGCCTTCTAAGAACTCAACTTTCTTTCCCCAAATATGGTAACTTTAGACTCCAAACTAAAAAAAAAAATGTGGCTACAGTCAAAAGACTTGAGTCATAGTGTTCAGTCTATGGTTTATCCTTAACGCCTGCTAAATTAGTAACAGCAGGTTCTCTTTGAAGCAACGGGCCACTTCAAGCCGCGTCCTGCACCTCGATGCAAACAATATCTGCGGGTCAAACCCTCCTTCTTTTCCATCCTCGCCACTTCTCCTCAGCGTCCGCAACTGCGAAGACAACTGTTGATGAGAGGGATAACGTGTTCCAATAAATGCTGCCGTCTGCAGCTTGATACCTTCACACTTTATCATTCCCGTGTATCATCTGACTAAACAGACTGTACGAGCTAAATTAAACCTCATCTCACCTTTCTCCAACACTCAGCAGAGAAAAGCAAGAGAGGGAGAGGTCATGTTTGGAGCATGACATCACCCCCCCCATTCCAGTCCCTCCCTGGCAATACTGTTATCTGCTCCCTGTTACACAATATTTCTTTAAGAGAAGAAGCAGATTTCTCTCTCTCTCGCTCTCTCTCTCTCTTCACCATTCAGTGAAGTAAAAAGAGAGCACATTTAACTGGTGCCAAGGATGAGGTCATTGAGCTGTCTGTGCCAGCTTTACCAGCCAGCCAGGCTGCCAGTCATACACACACGCACAGCCACACACACACACTAAATAGAGCGGGACACGAGTCCTTCAGTTGTGTTTACTAGATAAAAACACCCTGACACTGAGGCCGGCGATTACATCATGGGTCTCCTTGGCTTGGATGACACACCACGTTGATATTTCTGTCTGAAGGGATCAGTGAATGAAGACACAAAACTGTACATGAAACACTGATCCACTTGTCAAATGTTTACTTTTCCACTTGAGCTGCGTGTAGCGTTACTGTACAACAGAGGCACGTTAACACACTTTCTGATGTTTTAAATAAGCGGAGGCCTGTTTCGAAAAAGAAAAACCTTTCCGAGGACCAATATAATTCCTTAGATTTATACTACAAGACTCATTCACCTGCTCACACACACACATTCATGCAGCACTTTATTCTGTGTACTTTAGGAACGTTACCTACAACACATACACTCACAGTAGGTGCACCGGGGGGGGGGGGGGGGGGTAAGTATCCCAGACTGAACCACTGACAAACCAATATGTAGATGACTCACTCCACCTCTTTGCGTCCACTGAGGACATTTGTGGAACAAATGTGTTGCATCTTGGTGAGTGTTACAAACCTGACAAAAAGTCAAAGTGTTGTTTGAGGGTTAAGATTCTGCATCAGGATTAAGGTTTAAAGTAAGGAGTTGCTTCAGTAATAAAAGCTAAGGTAAGGTAAGAATGTGTTGGGTCATCGGGTACCCTTTTATGTATGTGTGTGTGTGTGTGAGAGAGTGTAAGAAAAGAGGGTCAGAAGTAAACTTGCCACCTGAGTGGCTCCGCAATCTGAAACCACTTTTCAGTTGCCACTCTGTATGCCAGCTCCTCCACAAGAAGCCACAACCTGCGTCCATGCCTGTGTGTGTGTTTGTGTGTGTGGGGCTATTTCACAGTTTTCCCATTTGAGGTAGCTTTTGATAGCAAAATATTTTTAACTATTAATTCCAGATGCAGGTGAAAAGAGGATATGTAAAATTTACAAGCGAAAAGATCGCACGCTTGTTGACGCAAGGGAAATAAAACAACTGAGAAAGCCACGGGGGAGCATGTAGATTGTGACTTCCTGTGGTCCAATGTGTGTGTGTGTGTGTGTGTGTGTTTGGGGGTAGAGTTACATTCTATTTCCTGTCTGTGCTGATTAGAAAGGACTATGGCAAAGGCAGAAGGTGAGGCCGGGTGTCTTTTTTTTAAGTGTTACATAACACTATGAATTTGTCTTTATTGAAAAATCACCCACATTTTGAGCCATTATAGAACAGATTAGAATAGAACGCGACTATTTGTCATTCTACAGGTGTACAACCAAATTTGGAGCAACTCTCTGAGTGGTGCATATAGTTAAGACAAAAATATATTCAAATACATATATATCAATATAAAGATATCAGAATATGAGATCAGTATAAGTTATTATACACACACAAACACACTCCTACTTTACAGACTTTAGTAATATTGCACCGGATGTTCTGAGTGATGATGATACACAGTGTTATGAGCTGGAGCAGGATGGTAAAGGGTATATATAATGGACATCTCTGTTCTAACTGAGCTTACTATAAGCCTCAGTCACCCAATCAGTCATTCATATAGCACTTTAGTTTACACCTAAGTGCTTTGTCTAACAATAAAACACACCGAGTGCAGCAGGGTTCAGAATCCTGCCACAGAAAGATTCAAAGTGCAGACTGGGATTGAACCTCCAACCTTTCAATTGTTAGCTTACCTCACTCAACCTCACTCTGCCTCCTGAACCACAGACAACCAAAACGTTAGGATAAGATATAATATGCTGGGAGTTGATGAAACATGCAGAAATCCACTCTTCATAAACAGCTGTGGTGTAATGCATTATTAGTGTAATGCTAATATAATGTTATTAGCTCCAATAATGGAAATAGTGGAAAAAGGTAGTCAGACTGACTGATGATCACCTACCTGGGGTGAAGAACAGGAGGGGTTGTGTACAGGAGCCGGTATACCCATTGCACAAGACATCTGCTTCTCCATCTGAAGAAGAAACAGTAGACACAAAAAGAATCTTTCAGCTGTGACAAAGGGAAGCAGCAGCTTGTATCCACATAAACCTCAAGTATGAAGAGTTCCCCCAAAGGTCACATCCATCTGGAGTTTTGACATTTTGATTAATTTATCCACAAAAGTGAATTTTCCTGTCATGGGTCCACTATACCTGCATCTATAAATCATCAGGCATGCGTGTTTGAATGTGTGGGAGTCTGAACATGACAAACACCATCCCCTTCCATACTTACAGTCATGTGCTGAGCAGATGCCCCTTGCATGGCGGGGTCTGGCAGGGTGCCAGGTAAGGAGGCTGGCAGCGGCTGCCTGTGTCTGTTCCGCATGTGAAGGAGGCACGACAGCGGCCCGGGAACCGGCCTGTGGTGAGCCGAAGAGGGAGAGAGCGATAGAGACGGGTCATGCTAGAGAGCCGTCCACAGCCAAAGTTTCATAAAACCAGGTTCAGTAAGAGGTGCAAGTTGAAACATTTATAGCTGGGTCTTAATGGCAGATGGAGGTGAGATGTGAGAATGGTCATATCGTCTTATTTTTAGGGGAAGCTGTATCCAAATCTACAAACAAAAAATGTATACAAAGCCAGCAGAATGGCGCTGTTCTGGGACCTCCCTGCACTTTAATGTGTAGGACCTTCACACAAAACAGAGCTGGTAACAGTGGCAACAGATATGCCACTGAGCTAGGGAAGAGGTGGGTTGCAAAGTGGCTTGCAGATGTGCTACAGCAGCTAAAATAGCCCTCCCACTGTTTACAAGGGTATCAGCTGAGCCATCAGCTGATGATGTAGGCTAGCACTGAGATCAGCTGATCTGCTACCACTGCAGGTGAGGGTAACTTGGCTGAACTAACATCATGTTTGATTTCTACTACTTAATTCAAATATTTTTTCAAAAGGAAAAGATAAGTGATTTTAGCTGGCAGGCTTACCTTCGTCTGAGCAACGAGTTGGCACAGTTTCCTAAAGTAAAGCAGGAGTATATCTTTCTAGAAGCAGCATTTCAGTCATCCTGTTTATTTCATACATTTAACAGATTTTACTGGAACTACTTTCTACGGAGGAAATAGTCCCTTACGAAACTGTTGACAGGGTGTTCTGCTTATTGTCCAGAATATTAAGTTCTCTAGGCAAAGATGTTGCTGTTGAACTTTTTTGACATGGGGAGTAGCACAACCTAAATTCCACTGAGCCTCATTGTTTTGGGATGGCGGAGAAGTCTCAAAGGCAGATGTGTCAAAACATTGGCAAGTTGGCAAATCAAAGCCGCCAACCACTAGAAACAAATGTTACTGAGGAGTCTCTGAGAGCCCTTAAACACTCCAATGTGATCAAAAAGCACTGATGTGTTATTGTATGCCAGGAGAGAGCTGTAAACAGAGTTTTGAGGTAAAGCGCTGACAAGAGAAAGAGTGATGAAGTTTAAAAAAAATGGAAAGAAAAGAAAGACGTGGAGAAAAATGACAGCCCGAGAGGGAGGTGGAAAGCCTGCAGATCAGCGCGGGGGGGATCCAGAGACCCAGGGTGCCATGTGCTGACCTAACCCCTCTGGCTCTTTGCCAGTCGGACAGCGTGGGCCTGCATGGCCACGCTGAGGTCATCATCAATGATGTCATCGCCGAATCTGAGGGTATGCGACCCTTTTAGAATACAACAAAGCGCAGACAAACCAAAACAGCATTTCCTAACATAACCACAACAGTTCTACCAGGCCAGCAGCCAGACATTCAGACCAGGTCACTATGGAAACCGGTGGTAAACACTTGGGGAAACAGCCAGATGCCCGATCCAGAGTTCACTTAGTAACTCTTAGCGGGTTTCACTGACTAACATGCTGTCTGGATTCAGCTGGCACTGATTAATGCTGCCATAAATGACTGTCAGCTCGCTCCCCACTGTCCTGTCACGTCCTGTCTGAGCCTGGACAGATGTTTGGAGCTAATTATGTCACTGACTCACTTGTGGCACCTTGATTCATCTAATCAACAACAGATTTGACAGCCTTTTGTTTGTCTACAGCAGTGCTTCCCAAACTTTTTCCAGCCACGTACCCCTTGAGACATGTCACCCTCAGCCGCATACCCCCTACTACGAACGACTCTTAATTAGTGTCTATAAATACATTGCAATATCGCATGCATAAAGATAAATACTGCACAGTCGATTATTTCTCACCACCAAATGAATTTATCAATATTTTTTAGTAATGACAGAGTTTTAATAACAAACTTTACTACTTAATACTAGCAGTGTATCAAAGGATTTATTAGAATTCACTTTTTTGTCGAGAGCATAAAGGCCATGAACTTTCATTAAACAGAACTTTATTTAATGTGATGGATGTGCTTGAGCAGAGGCACACAGCTCTTCAATGTTTGGCTCAATTTGGGAAAGGCTGAGTCTTAAATCGTTTTCCACACAAAGTCTTGCTCTGTATTTTGTTTTCATGTTTGTTAAAGCAGAAAATCCCTTTTCGCATAAGTATGTGGTGGCGAAAGGCATCAGAGTCTTGACAGCGCGCTTAGCCAGCGCGGGCTGTTCAGTGCGCAGCCCTATCCAGAAATCCGCCAGGTTCTTTTGAGCGTGTTCAACTTTTAGAGATCCATCTGTGGCGATTTCAATTAGGCTCTCCTGGTCAGACGGTGATAACGAAGTAGGCACGGCGGTGAACGGGTGACGTATCCAATCATTTGAGCCGTCCGTCTCTGGGAAGTATCGGCGTAACTGCACCGCCAACTCCTCAAGGTGCACGTTACATTCGCGCTTTACACTTTTAGATAGTGTGAGATCATTAGAGCACAGAAAATCATGCAGCACAGGAAAGACTTCAGTGTTGTTTGTATCCAAGCAGTTCTTCCAAAGGTTTAACTTCTTTATCATGGCCTCAACTTTATCTTGAACATTGAATATAGTTGCAGAAACGCCTTGTAATCTGAGATTGAGCTCGTTCAGACGAGAAAATATATCACACAGATAAGCCAGGCAGGTAAGGTACTCTTCATCATGCAAATGTTCAGACAGCTCAAAGGGATGGTTACTGAAGAAAACTTTAAGTTCATCCCTCAACTCAAAGAAACGGGTCAGCACTTTCCCTCTAGATAGCCAGCGAACCTCTGTGTGGAGTAATAATGTCTCATGCTCGCTGCCCATCTCATTGCACAACGCAGCAAATAAGCGGGAGTTCAGCGGCCTGGCTTTCACAAAGTTAACCATTTTTACACTCGTGTCCAAAACATGTTTCAAACGGACAGGTATTCCCTTTGCAGCAAGAGCCTCTCGGTGGATGCTGCAGTGTACCCAGGAGGCATCTGGCGCGACTGCTTGCACACGCGAAACCACACCTCCGTGTCTCCCAGTCATGGCCCGTGCGCCATCAGTACAGATGCCAACACATCTGTCCCACACGAGTCCATGTGTGTTCATGAATGTGTCCAGCTTTTGAAAAATATCTGCGGCAGTTGTCCTTTGTTCCAGCGGTTTACAGAACAGCATGTCCTCCTTGATGGTTCCTTCATGAATGTAGCGCACATATACGAGAAGATGCGCCAGGCCAGCCACATCCGTGGACTCATCTAGCTGTATTGCATAACATTCACTGTGGCGTATGCGCAGAAGTAGCTGCTGTAAAACATTTTCTGACATTGCATTGATGCGCCGTAAGACAGTATTGTTTGATGATGGAATGGACTGTATCGTCTTTTTTGCCTTTTCCCCCAACATTGTCCCTACCATATCTAAAGCAGCAGGGAGAATGAGGTCCTCCACAATAGTGTGGGGTTTGTTGTTTTTAGCCACTCTGTAACTGACCATGTAAGATGCTTGTAGTCTGTTTTTATTCATAAGATCTGGCACCTGAATGCAGGTTTTACTTGTTGAAAGTGATTTTAGCTGTCGCTCAAAATATTTATGGCACTTTTATGTAAGATTGACATTTGGGCGGGAATCGCTATTTACTATATTTAGCATAACTAAACCCCAGAAAACACACAAAAAAATCTTTTTTTAATCACAACGTGTCCAGTTTGATCTCAGAATATCATACATCTGCTCTCCCGTGAATTAATAAAGCCTTAAAATAGTCATAAATGCAAAAATGACATTGCTGTAATAACTAGGACTGGTAGAGAAAATGTTACACTAAAAAAAGAAAAACTATAAAAGTCAAAATCTTCTCAAGCAAATGTAAAATGGTTCCAACTTGTAGAAATATGTGAGTGTGCCTAGGCCCGTACAGGTGTATTTATAGGTGGGCTGATGGCACAAGAATAAAGACAAACAGGCCCAAAAATGCTTATTATTATTATCATTATTATTATTACAGGATTAGGAGTAAGGTTAGGGTTAGGTTTTGGTCCTCCACATTCTAAACTGGCAAATGTTTAGAAACTAGAGGCTGATGCCTTTCAAACATTTTCTCATTCCAGTTTTTCCTATTTTAAAGCACCACAGCTTAGAGGTTAAAGCAATTAAAGTTTACACTGAAAAAACAAACAACAGCATTTTCTCTGTCTAGAAACATTCATAGAGTTAATCTGGATAATCCACCGGCCTAACTGTGAAATGCTTTAGTCCCAATAAAGCTGTAGGCTTCATGTTGTGCTTATTGCCCAGAATATGAGGTACACTGTTTCTGTTAGTGATTAAAGCTGACTGAAAAGGGTAGATTTCTTGTATTAGCTGAAAAACATTTTAAGAGGCAGACAAAGACATATGTGAAATTTTTTTAAATAAAAAGTTACACATAAACAGTTTAATGTTCAGTTTTTTTAAGTTTCATTTTTAAGGTAACCTGATATACACGTTATTATAAACAAGTGAAGTTATTTAATTATGTTGCTGTGGCAGGCATGAGTTCGTTTTTCTTTATGAAATTAGAGATGAAAATTACTTGTATTACCTAAAGTTGCAAGTAATATTAGTCAGTAAACAATTAAATAAGTACTTGAAAACACCCTTTTTTCCTTATCAAACAGAATGCTGTAAATATACAGCATAATGAAGAGCAGAATACATAATGAACCCTGTATGTGTGTATTATGAGAACTTGTGAGGGCGGACTGTTTACTAGGTTTCACAAATTCATAGCCGGCCTTTTAGGAGGAGTGGGAGCAGCTGCAGGGAGCTGGTCAGATGAAAGACAGGAACTCCTCTAATCTGTCTGTAGAACTGGGTGATAACCAGGGAGCCAAGGAAGCTGCCCAGGCGCTGAGAGACTCCGGTCTGGTTCTGAGTCTTTGCAGACATGTAACAGAGACAGTAGCTGCATGGTGGGGTGGGTAGCGTCTAAGGGACTGAGTGGCTTTTTATGCAGTGGTTCTTCATCACTTTTGGAGTTACTTAATTCTCTCACTAAACTGACGTATAATTTTTTTCCTGCTTCTTCCTCTCACTTCGTTAATGAAGTGATGAATTATGCAGCGGAAACGCCAGCTTGTGAGCGGCGGAATGATTTATAATGCGTCCATAACAGGAGGAAAAAGAAAGAATGAGAAAAGGAAATGTGTTTGCGTGTGCGATGTAGGGAAAATGTAAGATACACATATATGTGTTTCGATGCCTGTAGGTAAATGTGTGTGTGTGCGTCTGTGTGAACTTACTCGGAGTGTGTTAGGGTGGAGGTAGCCTGGGTGATGACTGACCCAGACTGGGAGGAGGACAGGGCTTGCTGGGCGGCCAGGCTGCAGCTAGGGGCCATCATTGGGCCATGTGTCTGGGGATGATGCAGTGCATGAGTCTGGGGATGATGCAGCGGTGGTTGGGGATGTGGGTGCTGAGGCTGGGGTGGGTGCTGGAGCTGATGTTGGGGTTTGAGCTGGTGCTGGCTCATACAGGAGGGCCCATTATGAGAAAGCGACTGTGGAAAGAATAAAAAAAAAAAGACAAACAGCTGAGACCATTGTAAACTTGTGGGGCAGTAAATGATTGAAGTCTTTTACGATCAGAGATTACGGTGCCAGTCAAAGTCCTTTTAGACACTAACGCAGACACATGGCAGCCATCATGAGATGCGGCAGAGCAGTTTTTTTAAGCATTACCTATATTAACTTTAATTTCATTGTTCACAGGGAGATTAATATTGCTTATATACACTCACCTGTCAAATGTGTCAAATCACTTAAAAGGTTTCTGTCTATCAGTCCCCACCATATCTTAAAGACCTCATAATACCATATCATCCCAATAGAGCACTTTGGTCTCAGACTGCTCGTTTACTTATGGTTCCTAGGGTACTTGAAAGTAGAATGGGAGGAAGAGCCTTCAGCTTTCAGGCCCCTCTTCCGTGCAACAAGCTCCTATCTTTAAGATTAGGCTTAAACTTTCCTTTTTGATAAAATATATAGTTAGGGCTGGATCAGGTGACCCTCTCATGATGCACTGAGTGTTTCTTCAGTCACTACGTGTTTATACACCACTGTGCATTAAATCATTGGTTATTATTAATCTCTGGCTCTCTTCCACAGCATGTCTTTTGTCCTGTCTCCCTCCCCTCCCCTCAGCCACCCCCTATCTGCCCCCCTCTGAACTTAGTTCTGCTAGAGGTTTCCAAGTGTGTGTTTTCCCTCCCACTGTCACCAAGTGCTTGCTCATTGGAGATCATCTAATTTGGGTTTTTTTGCTCTAGTATTGTAGAGCCTTTACATTAAAGTCTTGAGGTGAGTGATGCTGTGATTAGGTGCCATATAAATAACAATGAATTGAACTGTCTTTGCCTCCAAAATCAAGCTTTAAAAAGCTTTTTCCCCCCTGGTAGTCATACTACCACTCTCTATACATGCTCTTTCAAAATTGTCCCAAATATTTTGATTTAATTGCTTTGAGTGCCACATTTCTCTCTTATAATGCCTGTGGTGACAGCGATGAGAGTGTGTGCACTTGTTTAGTTGTCTCTGAGTGTGACGACTAGCTGTTTAATTTACAGGGTAGAATGTGATCGCTCGGTGTGTCTTTCCTGCAGCAGGTCAGATATCTGCAGCTGTCTGACCGGGCCTGACTCCCTCACAAACAAGTGTCACTCAAAACATAAACTCTCAGCAGCACCGGGGGACGGATCTGCATCATGTCTTAATCCTTGCTTCTTTCCAGCTAACGTCAGACTAGAACTGATGGTTTATTTTAAGTGAAATAAAATAATATGATAATAAAAAAACTTGTCAGACTTACCTGCTTCTTGTTTTCCTCCTCTTGTGCTTGAAGAAATTCTTCCTCGATCTCCTTGAAGAGACCAACCTCTTCGCAGTTCTGCAGAAATCGTGTCGGCGTCGGAGTCTGGTCTAGAGTCATTGCATCCAAATGGAAACAAAAGAGAGGGGAAAAAAACGGATTTGCTTTTTAAAAAAATTTGAAGCACTTGCCAAAACAGACTGTAGTTTAAGCTTTTTTTGCTTTCTAAATTAACAGTGGTGCAGGTCGTCATGCGAAGAAGAGGAACGAGTCTCCTCTCAGCTGAGCTCTCCGTCTCTGCCTGATAACATCAGTCTGTCTCTCCCTGAGCCGTCTAAACACATAGAGGTCAGAGGTCACATGAGGGTTTTTGTTTTGACAGGGGAGTTCCTGCAGGAGGCGTGACAGGCTGCAGGACGGAGGTGCAGAGGGAGAGTCTGCAGAGGCCAGATCTTGCGCCGTTGTTTACATCCAGACAAATCTTTGGGGAAAACATTGACACCAACAGCCACGTTCGCCTCCAAAATTGTCACAAAAATGAAGCCAAAACATCGCAGCATGGCTTCCATGACTTTTATGATTTCACCTTTCTTGTGTGGCTACACTTTTCTCAGCACCACGGCTTCCACTGGCGATGGGGTAATACTTTGGTTGTACTGCTTTGCATTGATTCCTACACCACCACAAAAGCCAGCTTATGCTCATATGTTGCTTTAGTCCGGGCTGAAGATGAGGTGGAAATTCTTCTTGTTTTGGCATTGGGACTCGTACTTACTCATATTTTCTACAAGCAGCCAAGCCACTGCTTCCTGCTCATGGTCAGTATGTATTCACAGAAATGTTAATGTGGAAGCACAATATTTAAAAACTGTGTTTATATGATCGTCTGGAGGTTGTTTTGATGTTAAAGATACTAATACTACTACTGTAGCCTGAGCAGGTAGTGCATAACACAGAAATGTGAGGCTTGCAAAGTTAATTTAGATGCAGAATCAGCATTTTACAGCCGTTCACAATGGGACTAATCTTAATGGGGCATTTGTTTCCCTGGAAATCACTGCAAATGTGTTTGATATAGTCTGAGTGAAATTGTCAACTGTTGTTAGATGCTTACTTTTTTTAAGAGCAAACCTTTCCTAAATTCTTATTTTTGCCATTGAAACACATGACCGGACACTGAATCTACACACAGACACACAAAACAAGCTAAGGAAATTTTCTCTGACTTAGCAGATCTTGAAACAGGAAGAATCTTTATCTTTCCTCTTGTAGAAAAAAACATCCTTAAAAAAATAGGAAGAGGATGAATTTACAATATCAGTGCTTTTAAAACAATCGGAGAAGGTTCAGCAGTCTTGCTGCTATTATCAGTCTGTTGCATAGAACTGAATTAGAAACAATTAAACAATTTTGGAATTTTATTTTCACTCCTCATGAATATTTGTGTTGTAAATACAGAGCACAGTAATGATTAATATACATTTAAATGATGGCTAAATTGTGCTAAATTAAAACCATGAGCTCTAGAAGCAGTGAAATACTGTGTTTTACATGGGCCGTGCAGAGACCGGTGCACCTACTCTCCACGTTTTTAAATCAAAGTGCTGTTATCTGTGTTTTGGCTCTAATCTGATGGAGTATACTGTACATGCTGCAACACGAGACCATTTGTAGTCTGTTTGAGGGAAGGAAGCTTGCTTTGGTGGGTTATCTGACTTCATACTGTATAGTATATTGTCATCTTTTTAAAAAAAATATATATCAAGCACTGATCTTGAAAAGGAGGAAGTTTCACCACAGACATGTGCAGCCAGGAGATGCGGTCACTGGGAGACTAGGATGAAATCTCAGAGAAGCTCATTTTCTTCCTTACCTGTGAATGCTGCATCTGTCTTTATGGAGGGGAACTTGAGGGTCATCTCATGCTTGTGCCTGTGGATGATCAGATGTTCCTCTAACTGGAAGCGCTGCAGCACACCAACACAGGAAGAGAGATGTGAAGGGATGCGTGCAGCTGTGTGACACGCGGGATGATTTTCTCAGTTAAAGCAGCTGATTACATCTTAAGCTGACTAAGACATCATGATGCTCTTAGTCTGTTAAGTATTTTAGGTTATTCATCACTTCAGAAACATTTGTATTTATCAGAAACTCCTCCTATATTCTACAGCTTGATCGTTACTCATTTCATTGATGATTAGGTCTGACATCCTGGGTTTTTTTTTTTTTTTTTTTTAAATGACCATTACAGTCCTTGTAATGCCACACGTATATAGCATTCTACTGACCTGAGAGCAGCCCGGGGCGCCGCACATATAAGGCCTGTCCTGTTTGTCATTCATGTCATACACAAGCCTGCACAAACAGAAGAAGTGAGAAGAATTTATTTACCTGCAGTCTCAGATCACAGCTCAGATGAGCTCACCCAGCAGGCAGCCTGAGGTTCCCTGTTTTATGTTTTGTATTTACACGGATAATTCACATACTGTTCACCTATTATCGTGCCTTTATTGTGGAAGCCGTGTGTAATGAGATAGTTGCCACAGATGATGGATGTTTCTTCCTGAGACACAATATTAAGTTGACGAAAATGATCCCTTTGGTGCCAACGGACGGGGGTGAGAGCATACACTAGGTATTAGGACAAGCCCTATAGCGTACAAACCATGTTTTTTTTCCAGCCTTTCATTACTCATTAGTAATTACACGTAAACACAAGAAGGGCATCAAAGCCTTCCAGCATTGGGAGCTTTACTTTTCACTTGGAGTGGGGACTAAGTATAGTGCAATTGTTTCAGGCTACAATTAGGCTTTCATCGGGGTATCAGTTAATAATACTGGTGTGATGAAAGGATAAGTACTTGCCATGTCTTACATCAAGTCACTGGGATAAAATTATCAACACAAATGCTTATGAGAGTCACAGTAATAAACCAGCTTGCAGTGCCAACCCAGAACCGACCCAGTTGCCTCTGCTGCGAGGATATTAAGCCGTCGATGTGGAGCAATTGTGAATTATTTGAAGACTGCTGTTGAAGCACAAAGTAAGAAGGTCTTCAAATCCTCAGCCAGGTGACAACAGGTGACAAGGGTCAACAAATGTTACCAGTGTTGCTGTGGGAGGAGATGGTGGTTATGAGAAGCATATTCACAGGTTGCAAACTCCCCCACCCCTTGTGTAAGCGTGAGCCGAGAGCAATGAGAAGACAGCAAAGCGCGTGCTGATGTTATGGGAAAGACTGAGAGCCGAAGAGACGAGTTGGGAAAGAGAGGGCAAAAGTAAAGGCATCCATAAGAAGTGGAAAGAAAGTGTGTGTGTGTGTGTGTGTGTGTGTGTGTGTGTGTGTGTGTGTGTGTGTGTGTGTTTGAGTGAGAGGACGGGTGGGAGGTGGAGAGTGACATTAGGTTGATGGCGAGGAAAATGGAAAGGGCAAGTGGCAGTGATCGAGAGAGGGAGAGGAAAGCAGGAGGAGGAGGAGGACACAATGAATGAAAGAGAGAAGGAATGAGGGTGGGAGCCTGCGAAGGGAGGGCTGCACTTCAGGCCTACTCGTGACAGGTTCGAACCTGCCTCAGCCCCCATTTTCCAACCCCAGGCAAGTAGAGGTGACTTCATAGGTGTGCGTGTGCTTGTGTGCTTGAAAATAAACCAGTAACTAGGTGATCACAACACCAAAATTCCAGCAAGATCGGAGATTGATCAAAGTATTTAAGGTTTTGATTCTCAGCTAATACAGAAAGCAGGTTTATTAGTAGTTTTATGTATCAGCAGTATGTAACAGCGTGCCACAGTCAGCTGTACTCGAAGTGTTTCACAAGCTCACATTTTACAGACAAATGTAAAAATTTAAAGCCCAGCATCCAGTTTGTAACCCCTCTGCCCCCTCTTTCTGCTCTTGTACAAGATTAGCAGACTCAGCACATTTCCAGCAAAACCTTCTGTCAGAGCGGGCACTTCAATGCGCAATGACGTCATCCTTAACGGATGAACTCAACAACAGACCAGGCAACATACTGTCAGTTTAAGACAGGATTTACGTTGACAAAAAAGTTTTCCCGCCTCATTTTTTAACTGTCATTGTTCTACACTTACACTCGGTTACTATGACTCACAGAAAAACACGCACAACTTTTAATATCACCTGTAAGCATCAAAGAAATCATTTTTAAAAAGGTGCCAGGTTTAGTTACTCACTACACTTCTTCAAGTCCCCCGTATCTGATGGATGAATCATGACAGCAGCTGGCATGGAGCTCATTCTGCTCAATTTAAATCGCAGTCCTTAACCAAAAAGTCCTCCGGACGGTCACTGCCTGCGTCTCAAGAACTTGACCGGTATTTGTGTGTGTGTGTTTATGTGTGTTTGTGTGTGTGAGTTGTCTTTTCCTCCTACCGCACCGTAAAGGAACCTGTTCAACTCATAAACAAGCCCGGCACAGCTGTACAGAGAGTGCTGTCACACACCCCAAATAGACAGGAGCGCTCAACCTTTCCGCTGGGTGATGAGACTTCACCGGGACACCTCGCTAAAAAGTTCCGCCGTCAACTTTTCTTTCCTTTTTCTTTTTAAACCGTCAAAATAAAAAAATAAAAAAATAATAAAAATAATAAAGGCACAGTATCAGGAGAGCGGTTGCCGCGGAGCTAGAAAGTTTTGTGAATGGAAGTAAAAGACTTACCTACAAGTAGAGAGTAGACGAGCGGCGCTCCAGAGAGGAACCACGTTGGACTGGAGCGAGATTACAATACGTTCTATTTACAGAAGCATTACATCACCCTCCCGGTGACGTCACGTGGGATTCCTGAACTTCTAAATCATTGCGGTCCCGTACGGAGAGAGGGCTTGAGAGGGGCGGGGTTACGACACGGTGAGGGGGACGGGACGGAACAGCAGCAATAGCAGCAGCGTGGTGCTGGACCGGAGTCAGTGACAGACCCACCGGGTAGACACACCAACGGCAACGTGACGGGACACGGGGCAGACCGGGTGGGCGGATGAGACCCAGTTAAGTGTTTGTTTGTTTGTTTGTTTTTATCCTGTCCCCACTTTTGGTGTGTGTCTGAAACGGGACGTTCCAGCGTCTGTATCGAGTTTACGTGTCCAAATGAGCGAGAGCCTCCGGGTCTTTTTCTTCTTCTCAGAACGTTAGACAGTCAACGGTATGAGACTATTTGCTTGAAAATAAAGCTGAAACCCTGAAGTGATTTCAACGAAACGTTAAGTACATCCTGTCATCACCCAAAGCAACATGATAATAATAATAATAATAATAATAATAATAATAATGAAGGGGCTTTTTAGAAAGTACTAGTCTTCCATTTAGAAAGTCAGTGTTACGGCCCAGACAGTAGCTACTTTCAAGCAAGAAATTTATTTATATAGCACTTTCAGATCAGCCCCCAGCTGAACACAAAGTGTTGTACACTTGACATGCCAGAAATGATACATTGAACATGTTAAAAAATAAGAAATAAATTAAAATAAATTAAAATAATATAAAATAAATAAAAAATATTTAAAAAATAAAAAATAAGCTGATTATTAAAATGACATTTAAAATAATAAAATTAGCACAAATAGCAAAAACAATAATAAAATAGTATAAAAATGATGATGAGAATGACATTTAAAACAATAAAATCAGCATATTAGATTAAAACAATAAAATCAGGGTCAGACTGTGTCATAAGCCAAGGAGTAAAAATGGGTTTTAAGATATGTTTTAAAAGTGGACAGTGAAGGGGCCTCTCTAATGTGCTGGGAAAGATTGTTCCACAGATTAGGAGCAGCAATAGAGAAGGCCCTGTCCCCTCTGAGCTTTCTCTTGGACCTGGGTACCTCCAGGAGCAGCTTAACAGCTGACCTGAGAGACCTGGGGGGTGGGTAAAGATGCAGAAGCTCAGAGAGGTAAGTTGGGGCAAGACCGTTTAAACATTTAAAAACAAACATGAGAATTTTAAAATGAACTCTAAGATATACAGGCAGCCAATGGAGTGAAGCCAGGATGGGAGTTATGTGCTCTCTTTTACGAGTTCTGGTTAAAAGTCGTGCAGCAGCATTTTGGACCAGCTGCAGACGAGAGAGAAGATGCTGACTAACTCCAAAATACAGTGCATTACAGTAATCTAAACGAGATGAAATAAAAGCATGGATTACCATTTCAAGATGCGGCCTGGATAAAATAGGTCTTATCTTTGCCAAGCGCCTTAAATGATTAAAAACTGGACTTGACAGTAGCACTAATTTGACTGTCTAATTTAAAATCACTGTCCATATTAAAACCCACGTTTGTAACAACAGATTTAAAATACTCTGCCAGGGTTCCCAAATCAATAGCAGAGGGTTCACAAGGTCCACTAGGACCAAACAGAATAACCTCAGTTTTTCTTGAATTACATTTTAGAAAGTTTAGGGACATCCAAGATTTAATGTCTTCTAGACATGCTAGAAGTGGCTTAATAGAGAAGGCCTCTTTCTGCTTCAGAGGCAGATAAATCTGACAGTCGTCAGCGTAGCAGTGGAAGGATATTCCATGCCTTCTGAGGATGGTTCCCAGGGGCTGTAAATATAATGAAAAAAGCAGAGGCCCTAAAATTGAGCCCTGTGGGACCCCAGACTAAAAAGTGGCAGAGGAAGACTCATACCCTAAAAAGTTAACACTAAAAGTTCTGTTGCAAAGATAAGACATAAACCAGCTGCTTTATTCACAAGGGATTGTCACAGCGGGTAGCTCCCCATGTTTGATTTGGCACAGCTTTTGCGCCCGATGCCCCCTCTGACCCAAAGCCATAAGGATTTGTGGTCCCTCCTGGGATTCTTTCGTTTGAAAGGTGAATGTGCAAACCACTACAGTTATACTTAAAAATAAATAAATAAATAAAACAATAATACGCATTATTTCTAAAATACGACAGCTTAAGACATGGTGATAAACTTCTAGAAGTAGTTGAGTACTTTTCTTTTGAAAATGTGAGAGTTTAAAAAACCTGTCCAGGTCATACATCCGGTATACATAGACGTACAGATATTATTATTATTATTATTATTATTATTATTATTATTATTATTATTATTATTATTACATAATAATAATAAAACAAGAAATAAAATGTGACAATAAAGACAATATTACAGAGAAAAACCCAACAAACTAATGATGTAATAATAATCTATTATGAGGACTTGGAGACAGTGGGAACGAAGAACCAACTTTAAACAGAAAGTGATTGTAAATTGATTTATATAGCATGAGACCTCGAAATCTTTTTGAAGGTCATTCTGCTGACCTAAATATCACTAAAGCTAATGGCTTTATTTAGGTCTGAGATTTAAAGTGAGCGTTCAAACTGTATAACGCAAATTAAACATAAGCAACAATCAAATTGAACTTGTTTGTAAAGCATATGTAAAGGTGTGTCCCTTACACCAATGACCTAATTAAAACAAAGGTAAAATAATAAACTTGAGAAAACAATAAACAAAAGCAACAGAAATATAAATGTAAATTTAAGATTTAAAGCACGTTGAGTTACTTATTATTGCCTCTAAAACACTGCTATAGATAACGTTTAATGTTAGCATCACCTACTGCACACTGGAAGCCATTGTGTTGGTGATATGATGTCATATGTGATTATCAGGGCAAAGTGTCATACTCTGTCTATCTATCCATGGAAGAACAGTTTCAAAAGTTATTCTGAAGGAGTGTATGAATCATTTGACAGTTTTTGGCATTTTAGGATGATGCGTTTTTCATACTTATCAGAGAAACTGCCTAAAAAAGGTCGACTGTTGTTTATAATAAATACAAAAAAATTATCCCATCAAAATGTCATCAAAACAAAAGCACAACAAATCATTACCATTAGCTAAACCATGTTTGGTCAGCTTTTTCCGGTGCTTCGGCCAGGCTGGAGCTGAACAGGGCGATTCTTGTTATAGTTAAATTGCAAAATGGGACCAAACCCTACTGACTCATCATCCACCAATCGTTTACAGTATGCAAATTATCATCACCCTGGCAACAAGTAGAAATAGGAAGTTGTGATGATGTCACTCTGTGTTTTGAGCTTCTCTTCCCCCATGTGAACGTGAGTCACAGAGTTTTGTTTTTCAGCGAAGATAAGGGATGTTTTACAGCAGATGTACATGCCCGTGAACAGTGCACGGGCAGACTAAAAAGTGTATGACGGCAGCCAGGAAGTCTCTGGCTGGTGCCCTGAAGCAGACAATGCCAGTGAGATTACAGCTACCTCCATAACTCAGGGGCTCTACCAGCCATTACCATCTGGCACCTTCACCCCGGCTTGGCTTTTAACAGCCAGTCTGGGAGCTTTAGAAAGCTGCCTACTCAGAGCCTGATGTCACCCAGTCTGAAAAAATATGGCGTTTCAGGTTAAAGGTAAAAGAAACTTTCTGACCTCCATCTCTATGTAGCTTAATCCTCACTTTGGCTACATTACACATCTGGCTCAGCTGGCAAAGTCTATGCATGTCATGCATGGTTGATTTCTGACTATTCCTATTAGGTGCACTTAAAAAATAGCTAACTGGTAACAGATACTTTAAAAAGTATGCAACTTGCAGAGATCTGATTATGTAATGTAGTGAGTTAAATTTACATGCAACCCATCCCTCAGATGCAGACCCACATAGTAACAGAGCCCCAGTGTGTGTGCGTGTTTGTGTCTGTGTTTGTTCTGTGTGTATTTGCAAACTGTGTTGGCCATTAGTCCGTGCACTTGTTGGACTATTCATTTCCAGCAAAAAAGAAAAAAGAAAAGGAAAGGAGAAAAAAAGGGTGTCTGATAATTCCAAATCCCAAACTGTAACCTAAGATTGTGCGCCACCCACAGGCCTCAAAACAGGTGATGTCATGCACCACAAACTCTCGACGTGTATCTCCCTTTCTCCCTTCACCTTTTTACAACACATGCTACCACTTCTCATTTACGTAATGGTGCTGGGAACTGCGTCACTCTCACAGTTCTGATACACCACGTGTGCGTAATGAGTGTGTTTATCCCGAGTGTGTTTTTGTATGCTTGTGTGTAAGAGAGAACATCTGTGTTGGGCTGATGAAGTCACTGAATTCATGTACTGTACATGTGTGTGTATGCGTGTGCACTGGTGACGCCACCGTGTTTTGGCATGTTTGCTTTCAAAGGCTGTTGCAGTGTATTTTATATTTTGTGTTTTAGTTACTGTGTCTCGTTTTGGTTGAGTAGACAGAGAGCAGTCAGAAAAAAAAACGTATCTCCGGGTCTTAAGGTTGTTTGCTGAAGTCACTGGCCAGGTTTATGACAGTCCATTTTAACGCTCGATTAACAGGTCCAACACAGGCCAGCCGGCTCTGGTTAGCCAGCCCCAGTGATTTAAGGACATTCTCCTCTCTCTGGGAACTGCACACAAAGCTACGCGGTACTCTTCTCATCACTGAGCCCATTATAGGGTAACATTAATCACTTAACTTTATGGATGTCATAGATTCTGTTGTCAAAGGCTTATCCATGTCATTATACATACACACATCCTGGTCTTTTGAAGCCCCTTCAGACAAAAGCATTGACATGGTTTAGAAACATGTAAGCTGCTGGCTCTAGCTCACGACACGGCAATAAGTGAATCAGTTCCATTAAAGCTAAATCACAAGGCAAGGGAAGTATTTTTATGGCACATTTCATACACATTTTAAAGGGATTACGTAAAGCATAAAATATATTAAAAAAGAAATACAGCAGCCATTTACGCTAAGCACACTGCTAAAGTAAATACTTGGAGACAGGTATTTACCGTTATGAATATATAAAGAAGAAGTCAGCATCTATTCTCTTCATGACTTATTCAGGCTCCTTCAGATTCCAGATTGTATTCACCAGAAGCAAATATGAAATCTGTTATGTTTTATTGAATCCTGCAAGGTAATAGGTAATAATGTATCAAGACAAAAGCTGAAAAGAAAACTGATCAGTGCCTGTGTTTTTTCAGGTGTAACAGACATAGTCTTTATCAGTTAAAAAGACAGTGTATACATGTACAGTACTGTATATAACCCACTATAAGTACTTAGTTTGACCAGAACCCATTAAACTAAATACGTGTAAACAAAGATGTTTGTAAGGGATAATGTGGGCCCATTATACTGAGAGTTAGTTTGAAATTTTGATATCTAACTTACAAAATAAGCACACACAAGTTGATATTTAAAAGTTTGGCACTGATCATGTGAAGGACATGCTGTATTTATTACCGGTAATGCAATTTGACCAACTTCTTAGAAGCAGAAATAGAAACTAAAGTTTGTTTTTATGATCTTAATTCACTGCGTTAGTAGACTTGTGCATTCTCTTTTATGCTAAAAAATCTGTTAAAACCATAACTGTGATTTCAGATGTTGATCTTTTTTTTCTTTGTGTTTCAGCAGGGAGGCACAGGTTAGCACCTAAGAATTGGGACAGAGACAACAAAAGGCTGGAAGGAACAATTTGCAAATAATTAGGTTAATTGGCAACAGGTCAGTAACATAATTGGGTATAAAAAGAACATTTCAGAAGACTTTAAGTGTCACGTCATCTGCAGTGCAAAATACCATCATAAGATTCAGAGAATTTGGAGAAATCTCTGTGTGTGAGAAAGAAGGCTGAAAATACTGGACACCCATGATTTTCAGGGCCTTAGACAAGTCACTGCAATGGTTTCAGGAACACTTCCTGAAATTACTGTCTGTAGACAAAATTTAAGCCCTATCAGGCAAAGAAAAAGCAATTTGTGAATATGATCCAGAAAAACCATCATCTTCTCTTGACCATAGATCATTTAAAATGGACTGAGGCAAAGCGGGAAACTGCTCTGTGGTCAGACGAATCAAAACTTTTAATTCTGTTTTGAAAACATGGACATTTCTCTAGTCTTCTGGTCTAAAGAGGAGAGAGACCACCTGTATTGTTATCAGCGTTCAGTTCAAAAGCCTGCATCTCTGAACATATGGGGGTGTATTAGTGCCCATGGATTGGCAGCTAGCACATCTGGAAAGGCACAATTAGTGCTGAGCAGTATATATAGGTTTTAGTGGGACATATGCTTCCATCCAGATTATGTATTTTTCAGAGAAGGCCTTGCATATTTTAGCAAGACAATGTTGAACCACATACTGCATCTAATATAACCGCATGGCTTCATGGTAGAACTGAAAACATCTGGCACATCATGACACAATATATACAACAACAAAAAAACAGGATTGTTGAGCAGATAAAATCCTCTAACAGACAGGAATAGGACACCTGGTCTCCCTATTCCTAGACGTTAAAAAATGAAAAAACATGGCCCCCTCCAAATATTTTTGAGATGTTTTGCTGCCATCAGATTTAAAATGAGCTAATGTTTTTCTTAATATGGTACATTTTCTTACTTTGACAATTTGATATTTTTCTGTGTTATACGGTGTTTTGAGATTGTCAAATCATTGCATTCTGTTTTTATTTACATTTTTAAAGAGCATCATAGCTTTTTTGGATTTGGGCTTGTATTTCTTTATACGTTTGGGGCAAACAGTAAATTTCCAATGATTCCTTATTTTAAGGACATTAAAAAAAAAAAAAAAAAAAAAATATATATATATATATATATATATTTTTTTAAACTAAAAAAGAGAAATCTGTTTCCTTTTGTTCTACTTGTGTGGTTTGTATATTGTGTTTATAACGTATGTATATGTGCCAAGATTAGACTGATTTTTGATACCACTCCGCAGTCAGTGCGGCTGTCATACCAACAGGTAGGCAGGTCGTGACGTATGCCACCAGCCACCCCTCCTCCTCCTCCTCCCACCGCCCCGCCTGCCTCCCAGCTGCGTCCGCCGCTGTCCTGTCTGGCCGCCCGGTGTCTGCTCCGCTGCTCCGCGCTCTGCCCCGTTCCTATCCCCGGACCCGAAACCTCTGCCTCCTCGTTCACCACCCCGGCTCCTGGACCCCCTCCCCCCCTCTCTGCCCGGTGAATGCACCAGCGCCGTGAACATGACGGGCATCGCCGCCGCTTCGTTCTTCTCCAATTCCTGCAGGTTCGGGGGCTGCGGACTCCAGTTCGAGTCTCTCGCCGAGCTCATCGTCCACATCGAGGACAATCACATCGGTGAGTGGAGCCAGCGGGGGAGAGGGAACTAGACAGCTAGCTGGTATTAGCTAGCCCCCCCTCCCCTCCCCTCTAGCTAGCTAGCTAAACGCAGATAGGCTCAGCTCTGCATTCCGCTATTCCTGCTTCTTGCTCTCTGTCGAGGCTCGCCGGAGAGGGAGTTATTTATCAACTTTTATATCTGGAAAATAAACTATGCTTTCTGAGATGTTGGGGCCGACTCGTCTGATTAGGAGTCAGCTACAGCAGTTACCTTTGCAGCGGTAACTCGACTAGGAGGGCCGCGTAGGTCTCATAGGTGAAACTAGCATCCCGACCAGACAGCGGTTTCACAGCTAGCGTTGCTGAGCACTGTTTACATTTCCAGGCCTGACGCAGTGCAGCCGTGGCTTTTCTTCATACCGCTTGTGCATTTGAGCTGCCGAAAACTCTTGACTGTCACATTTCTGAAAGCGTCACTCCCCCGTGGCTTTTCTGTTATTTTGGTGTCTAATTCCCACCGGCACTCCATCAGCTGAAGTTGTAGCAGACATGCAAGGATATAATCAGATTTTCTTCCACAAGTACAAGCGCCGACTTGTTGCACCGCTTATTAGATTTTGGTCTGACAGTAAACACTCTGATGACTGCCCCCTGGCACGTATAAATACAATCGTAATCAGTTTGCCCACCATTTAACATAAGAGGCACAGAAAAAGTTGCAGGGTAAACACTCTGGATTATAAAGAGGCATGTATTTATTTAATTAAGTGGTAATTGGTGCAATTAGTAACTTCTATTATAGCAGCATTGTATGTGGATTCTCAAAAATGGGGGAAAATAGAGCTGGTGTAGGTGCATTTTTGAGCTGTTAAATAAAAATACCTGTCTTTGCGTGCACAATAATTAAAATCTAAGTAAATTATGTGAATTCTTGATAAGGGAGTGCTTTCCTCCTATTGCCTCAAGGTAGCAGAGAAAAGCATGCAGATTTAAAGAACAGAATAAACTGTCACTTCCAACTAAACACACAATAACAGTGTGTTAGATTAAACTATGATCCACCATAACAAATAAGACTAGAGATGCATTTACGCATCTCTGAATCACTCAGTAATCTGATGTGGGCTAATCATTATTTGTGGGGAGTATCCATCCTCATGAGGCTATGTGAAGGGGGGGAGCGAGGGGTTTACATAGATGCTTCATTGAGCCAGTCTCCATGGCAACTGGCGGTCCCTAAAGGGGTTAGGGGCAGTGTATTTGGCTGAGTTATTGCACACCTGCTGTCTCACTGACAAAGAGTGCTGTCGAGCAACCAGCTGTGTTGAGGACACCCAACGTGATGTCGCGTCACGTGGAGAACAGGACTGATAAACACAAGTGATGTAGTTGGTGTGGTGTTTGCTGGTGGGGAGACGGAGGAGCAGGGTGGGCTGCTCTTCATCTTACCCATATGCTCCATGGATCTCTTCCAAATAAACCCAAGGGTGGAAGAAATCAAAACGTGATTTTTCACCTTGTCCCCACAGAAATGCAGGGATTAATATTGCTTCCTCAGTTCAACAACCCAAACACCACAGACACTGAGTGATGTATGCCCCATCTGGCTCTTAGCCTGACCTTTGACCCTAACTGTCAGATGACCAGAATAGCGGTTTACCAGTCAAATATTCTGGATTAATGAATTGCCCCTCTCCTGGCTTTATAGCACGGTTGGTTATCAGGGGCGGCACAGACATAAAGAGTCTAATCAATACTGCTTTCAGATCAGTTACCATAGGGTCTAGAGTGACACATGGAGAGGATTGAGAGGGGGCGGGGAGGCAAGTGACATTTGGTTTTGACTTCCTTTTCGGTTGTGAATTAGTGCAGTGGCGTGTGATCAATAATCAATCAAAGGATCAGCTAATTTGAAGCTTGAGATATGAGATGCTAGTAGTTGTAAAAAGTGAGTCAGCGGGACTTAAGTCAGGTGTGGAGAAATCAGTGTACGTCTCTGCTGGAAACAGTTAGTTTTTGCTGCAGGCTGTGCTGCCCTCTTGTGGTAGGGCATCTAATGTGCTACACGACCAGAAAACTCCCAAATTTCTGCCTTGTGTTTGGAATCCGTTATCTTCTATATCGTTTTTTTTATTTGGACTTCTGCCTTGTCTGACACATAATAGCTGGCAGCAAGCAGACCAGATGAGTGTGTCGTGATCCCATCTGTGAGAAACCTAGGAAACGTGTGGATCTACAACACTGATCTCATCCTAAAGGGCAGGAGCCTACCAATGGCATGCCCACACTGTTTAGATTACAGCCGAATGCAATAAGGAAGTGGGGTTAGGTGCACTGTGTTTAGTGTGGTAGTTTTGTTGTGCTGGGAGTGTAGGTAAGGTCTGAGGAATGCAATGATGTCAGGCTTCTCTGCCTGCGTGCACGACGGCAGCAATGTTCTCACCTGCACAAGCACGTACCTGCCCCTTACCTCAGCAAAAAGGACAGGGAGGGGGGAGGCAGGTAGAGATTAAAAGCAGGGAAAGAGATTTAAAAGAGAAGGTTATGAAAGTCAAAACACGGGTGTGAGCTGAGTACAGGGAAATCCCAAAAGATATCACCTTTGCTTGGACAGACTTTACTTGAATCCTTGTTTTTCTTCTGCATTCGGAGTTAAAGGTTGAGCTGAAACTACGGCCTTGTAACATGATGTAAACTCTGCTGAAGAATGCTGATCGTTAGTTTGCAGTGATTTTTTTTAAACTTGTTGCTTTTCGATTACAGGGATAATTTTGTGGGTACGATTGGCAAACCACTAGAATTTATTTTTTGCATTTCTTTCTTTGTGATGTTGTTTACAGGGAGACAGCATGTTTGAGGATGTGTAGATTATACTGTTTTACTATGTAAGTTAAAGCTGAATATGTTAGATATTAGGGCTGGGCCATATTATACCGTTCACGGTAATACTGGTACAATGCTAGGCAACGATAAGAAAATGAAATATCGTGCATGCGCAGTGCCGAAAAAGCACGGCGGTAACGGAGAATGAGAATGGAGAAAGCAGATTGTTGAGTGAAACGGGTGAACCAGAATTAGTTTGTAAAAATGGTGCAACTTAACTGGTTTGGTGTTTGTCTGTCAGATACACAACAAAGCACATTTTTTTTGTAGAATATGCAAGCAGGCCATCGTTATTGCCGTATTTGTCAGACTAAGGTGCTCGTAAATCTGGGAGTAGTCTGGGAGTAGTCTGGGTCCTAAACTCCGTCCTTTAAGGTCCCGAAGTCAAACGAACATCACTGAGAGTTAAAAACTGTCTAAATTCTTCCATCTTTAATAAAATGATCAGCGTTGCTGCTTTACCAGGTGTAACTATGATGTTTAACATCCAGGCATCCATGAAAACGGAATTCATTACATTTAACGGAGTTAGAAGTTAGCGGAAGTTAGCTCGCTAGTTTCGCTAGTTACCTAAGCATGATATAGCATGTTCTGACTGAGAGATTTCTGAAAAAAAAAAAAAAATCAAACGTACAGCTCTGCTATCACTTCCAACATAAATGAAGACAGGAAGCTACACAGCAGTGACGTTTGTAGGGTTACTGAAGTTGGGCTAGCTGGTGTTTAATGCTGTGCTACGTGATCGCTAGCGACACAGCTATGTTAGCATAACATAAAGAAAAAGTTAACGTGAAGGTTCCTGATGGTTAGAGACAAATGCAATCGCATGGCAGGATGCTGTAAACGGACCAAACTTCAGTCAGGAGAACAACTGAGATAATCCATCCACAATACAAGGTTAGTCATTAATATACTGCAACAACATAGGAATAGAGCAGCTGTGGTAGAATACAGCATTAATGAATCAATGGTACAGAAGTGGAGGAAGCAAGAAGAATAAGTTGAATAAAGTTTGATTTATCTGACTGCTTTGTTTCGCTTAATGTGCCTTATAATCCCGTGCACCTTATGGTCCGAAAAATACATATTTGAAAGCACCTCTTTTTAACTTCAGTGGATATTATACATAGTTATGCTCAGGATATGTCAGCCCATTTCTACTGGAAATGCCTTTTGGTTAAACTTTCAGCAAGGAATTTACTTTTACACTGTTAAATGTTTATATAGCTTTAATGCACATAAAAAAACAGCTGCTTGTTTAAGTAAAATAAATGGATGGGGGTTTTTTGCGCTAGTAAAGTCCTGGAGTTATATTTTGTCTCGCAGAAATTATATCGTCAGTTATAACGTTATCGCAAATTTTCAAATATATATCGTGATATATATTTTTGGCCATATTGCCCTGCTCTATTAGATATAACAACATTTTTACCAGTAAGTCACGTGCTGAAAAGGTAACCAATAAGTCGATTATTTTTACAATTATTTTTCATTTTTATTTTACATTGTAATTATTTTTTGGACAATGTTTTTGTATTAGACTGATCATTTCAGCTCTATGTATATGTGATTTATATATGCATTAAAAGAAGGATTTCAGCTGTTTGTTCTTGCTTTAGTTGTCAGGTTGTTTCCCATCTCGCTCCTGTCAGAGGGTTGAGAAGGGAAGGGGTGCATGTTTGTGCATGTGAGAGGCTGTGCTCACTATACTTCCTGTATGACCTGTCAGGGTGTAGCGAAGCAGTTATTGGACTGGCATCCCAAACTGGAAACTGCAGACCCTCTCTTTTGCTTCACACACACACAGTCACACACACTGTCTTTCGGAAGTCGCACGATCTGAGCGCCCCACCAAGCACTGGGAAGCATAATTACAGAGGAGTTTGCCTTTCCCTCCACCCATATGCCCCCTCTCTTTGCTCCCACTCCTCCTCCTCGCCTCTCTTCTCCCTCCATCCGGTTGCCTGCTGCTTTAGAAACACGTTAAAATGCTCTCCGAGGCTTAATTAGCAGGCTGCATAACAAGCCATGCATTCTTGGTCTGGTTTCAGCACATGCACACATGTAAAGAGACACATACACAGACCTCTCTACACAATGGGCTTGTGCATGTGGACACATGCAGACAGAGTACA